TGAGTCCACCATTACCCTGATACCAAAACCAGACAAAGAAACTACAAAAAATGAAAATTACAGACCAATATCTCTGATGAATATAGGTGCAAAAATCCTCAAGAAAATACTAGCAAGTCAAATTCAACAATATATAAAAAGGATCACACACCATGATCAAGTAGGATTTATCCCAGGGATGCAAGAATGGTTTAATATCAGCCAATCAATCAATGTGATACACCACATTAACAAAAGAAAGAATAAAAGACACATGAACATATCAATAGACACAGCAAAAGCATTTGACAAAATTCAATATCCATTCATAAAAACTCTCATCAAAGTTGATATAAAGGGAGCATACCTCATCTAATAAAGGCCATTTATGACAAACCCACAGCCTATTTAACATATATTGGAAGTGGTATTTAACATAATTGAAAGTCCTAGCCATAGCAGTCATACAGAAATAAAAGATATCCAGATTGGAAGGGAAATAGTAAAACTATCATTATTTGCAGATGACATGATACTATATTTAGAAAACCCTAAAGTCTACCCCAAAAAACTATTGGAATAAATGAATTCAGTAAAGTTGCAGGATACAAGATTAATATACAGAAATCTGTTGCTTTTCTGTACACTAATAATGAACTACGAGAAAGAGAAAGTTAAAAAAAAAAAATCCTGTTCAAAATTACATCAAAAGGAATAAAATACCTAGAAATAAGTTTAAGGAGGTGAAAGACCTATACTCTGAAAACTACAAAACTCTGATGGAGGAAATTGAAGATGATACAAAGAAATGGAAAGATATCCTGAGCTCTTGTATTGGAAGAATTAATATTTTTAAAATATTTTAAAAAGCAATCTACAGATTTAATGAAATCCCTATCAAAATACCAGTGGTATTTTTGTATTCACAGAACTAGAACAAGTAATTCTAAAATTTGCGTGGAACTACAAAAGATTCCAAATTGCTAAAGCAATCCTGAGAAAAAAGATCAAAGCTGAAGGTATTACCCTCCCTGACTTCAGCCTAACTGACAAAGCCACAGTAATTAAAACAGTATGGTACTGGCATTAAAATAGACATGTGCATCAATGGAACAGAATAAAGAGCCCAGAAATAAACCTACATGCTTATGGTCAATTAATCTACAAAAAAATGAAGGCAAGAATATACAATGAAGAAAAGCCATTCTCTTCAATAAGTGGTGCTGGGAAAACTGGACAGCTGTACGTAAAACAATGAAATTAGGTAGAGGCATCCAGAAAAACCATGCCAGGACTCCTGACCCACAGAAACTCTGAGATAATGTTTTCTAATTTAATAAAGTTAGTAGTGTACTGTTTTCAGCTGCCAAATTTTGGAGTAATTACATAGCAGTGGATAATTAATTTAGGTTTCAATACAAATACAACAAGACTGTTTATGGAATTTAAAAAGCTAACATTAAATTACCTGTAGAAAACGTTAAAGAATTATTATGACAATTCTAACAAAGGAGGGCAGTAAGGAGAGATTTGTTTCTATCATACATTGTAAAAGGCCATCTATTAAAACAGGATGTTTCTTGATTTAGGAAGAGACACAGATCAATGGAAGACAATAAAGAGTCCAAAAACAAAGGATTATATATGTAGGGGTAAAGGGAGGATTTGAAATGAGGGGAAATGATAATTTAAACAATATCTTCAGGATAAATGAGTTTCCTCTTGAAAAAAAAATGACTAAAAAAGCCAACATCATTACATATACAAAAAATTAATTGAAGGTGAATTAAAGTGCTAAAAGTTTAAAAAAGAGGACTATTTTTGTCGTTGTTGTTTCATGTGTTTTTCAGGTGATGAAGAAGTCCTTTCTAGGTAAGACTAAAAAAAGACATGGAAAGATAGATATATTTGACTACATAGAAATTTCCTTTGTGATTAAAGATACTATTAACAGACTAAAAACAGCAGGCCCAAACTGGGAGAAAATGTTTGGAAAATATCTAATAAACAAAGGTTAATATACATAATCTAGAAATATATTCCACAAAAGAATAAGAAGAAGAAAATAACTCCATAGAATGTTTTTAAAAGCAATTCAAATATAGATGTATGTATGTACATTGTGTATAGAGAGTATGTGTGTATACAGTCAATTCTCATTATTCACAATTTCATATTTGAGAATTCTTCCACTCCCTGAAATTTATTTGGAACCTCAAAATCAAAACTCAGGAGGTTTTGCAGTCATTTGCAGACACGCACAGAGCTGTGAAACATTTGAGTTGCCCTATATGCATGTTCCCAGCTGAGGCTGAACAAGGCAATGCTCAGCCTGCTAGTTTCAGCTCTCAGACAGTGATGACCGGAGGGTGGAGGTGGTAGCCAGCCGTGCAGTGGCTTGCAGGGGGTTTGAATACAAGACCTGGCACCTGTTAGTGTGATGGCCTTAGGCAAGTCACTTAATGCTTCTGAACATTTTTTTCTTTGGTAAAGTAAAGAAAATAAAATCTACCAGGATAAGTCGTTTTTGGGGGATTCAAGATTACGATTGTAATCCATGTGAGACTGTGTGTGTCTGTGTGTGCGTACACAATAAACATGTACAAATGCTCAACCTCACTAGTAATAATGGAAATGCATGTTAAAATAATCAAAAATTTTACCAGTAGATTAAAAATAGAGGTTGATAATACAGAGTTTTGATGAAGCTGTGAAAGAAGTAGTACTTTTACTGTTGGGGGGAAGGGATACAGATGAGTATAAACTCCTTAGAGATAATTTTGCAGTATCTAGGAAAGCCAATCAGTCACTTAGAAATCTATCTCACAGACGTAAAGATTTCTTTACATTGTTTGTAAACAAAAACTTAAAACAATCCAATGTCTATTAGCAGGGAAATGGTTTAAAATACTTAGTCCCATCCGCGCTCAAAAATAGAATGAAGGGGCTTCCCTGGTGGCACAGTGGTTGAGGGTCCGCCTGCTGATGCAGGGGACACAGGTTCGTGCCCCGGTCCGGGAAGATCCCACATGCCGCGGAGTGGCTAGGCCCGTGAGCCATGGCCGCTGGGCCTGTGCGTCCGGAGCCTGTGCTCCGCAGCGGGAGAGGCCACAATGGTGAGAGTCCCACATACCGCAAAAATAATAATAATAATAATAGAATGAAAAAGTAAGAAAAATAAAAGACATATATACCAAAGTATTGATTCATTTTATTTCAAGTGAAAATTTTAAAAAATTATATGTGGACTATATATAGGTATAAACATATGTAATATATAATTCCTTTATGTAAACATGCATGTATGCACATCCAATATAGAGATATAAATAATATAATTATGTAAATATATAAGAAAAGTGTTTTAAGGATACGTTTCAAATCGTTTATATTAGTTACCTAGAGCAGGGTGCAGAATCTTATTTCAGGAGGATGGGGGTGATGTCAAGTTTTTATTGCTGCTTTTGTGGCTGTTTTCACTTAACAGTATTGTCCTCAAATATTTTCTCTTCTTTAAAAGGAGCATGCATTTTTGCATTACCTTTATAATTTAAGTTTTATTTTCCACTTACCATTCAAAAAATTTACCCAATTAAAAATGTCACAATGCTTAGTTTTGTTTATACTTCTTAGCCTAGCTTCCTTTTTTTTCCTATCATTATCCCAATTGCCTATTTAGTATTAAATTATCTGGCTACATTTTGATGGAAGTGAATTGGTTTCCTTTTCTCTATAAAGAAAACATTATAAAGACAGTATAAAATTGAGTTCCTTCAAACCTACCCAAAATTTCCTAAGCAGACATAATAGAATTTATTTCTCTCTTATAGAAAGTTGGAGCATCTCCTTTCATTTGTTTGTTTAGAAATATTTAAGCATTTAGCAACTCTGTTCAAATTTAAGCAAAACTTACAAAACTGATATGGCTTATTCAGAGAATATAAATTATAAAATTAGAAATGGCACTGGCTTCATTTTTCCCTATGAAACATCAAGTCATACATGGGAAAAGAAAATATGTTATTTTGCAAGACCCAGAGTAACTGTTACATGTGTCTAAACGATTATTTAATTTATTCTTAATAACGCAAATCTTTTCTCAGCATCAAAGGTATCTTTATATCAAGTTGCTTTTATACATCATTGTTTAGAAGGAAACAGTAGAAGTCAAGTTGCTTGAGAGTACATTAAATTATATGCTAGTTAATAGTCCTAGAGAGATGGCTTAAAAATAAATTGTCCGTAATACCTTTTAATAAAGGAGCTAAATGCATTTTTTTATTCTCTGTTAAAAACAGATGCCTATTTGGCACTGTTTGGAATCCCATTTGCCATGTATATTTTGATTAATATTATGCTGGGTAATCTGCTCTACGTGGTCTAGGTTCAGTAACCTCACAGTAAAATAATGAGCCTTCAAGAATAAAAAACATGCTCACTATAAAGTTGCATATTCTGAGAAGCCAGTGAACGTATTCAAATGAAATGAAAAAATGAGGTTTTCACCCAGTAAATTTGCTTGAACTGAAACTTACATTGCTCAATTTGTATTTAGCTGTCAGTCTGTGCACTACAAACTGGACAAGCTATCAACCTTTTGCATATGTTTTCTATAAATACCTTTTCTTCTCTGATTCAACTGCCATAGAACTCTGCAGAAGGAGTGGTCTTAAGGGAGCTTACAGCAACTGGGAGGCAGCCAATGGCAGTGAGTTCACACACTAAGTGGCATCTTCAGAAAAGGACCAGCACTCATATTTTATGAAATATGTAACATGATTTACCCAGGGCTGTCAGAAGAGATGAATTTCAGCCAATGCAAGGTAATAAATAGTAATATGTGCTGCATATATTTGACTTATAACCCTTGGCATTTCGAAAAAAAATTCTTTTGAAGAATTCATTTTATACATCATAAAGTTTTCTATTGTTTTTCCTGTCTGGGCTGTCTTTGTCAACAGACTTCTTATGAAAATAATATTTAAAATTGTAAATGAAGCAATATTTTTGGGAATACTCACCTAGGACTTTCCTTCCAGGCAACACTTGAGACAGGAAACAGAGCAGTGTACAAAATGGTTGGTTTCATTAAATCAGAACCTAGGGAGGGAAAAAACCCAGTAAGTTGTTTGTCCATGATTATGGGAAATTTGTTATTAAAGTTTAGCGCTATTTTCTCTCATGAAACACTTAATATCCTTTAGAAACACAGAAAGATAGTTTTGTTATATTTATTTTTACATATTTGGAGTGAAATATAAAGGCTCAGATAATGTACAGATGCAAATTTTTGATTCAAGACAGAATACTTTTCATTAAATATAAATATAACTTCTCCCCAGATTCCAAGAACCTAATGAATGGCTTACTTTGCTGTTGCCCAGTGAATAATTGCTACAAGATCACTCAGATAATCACATATAGCTTTACATTTCAGTTTACAGTTTCTTCTTTGGTTTTCTTCCCATACATAAACACACAAGTATGTTTTACATTCTCATATATGTTAATTACAACTAATTAACGTTTAGCGCCATATTATAACCATACATAAAACAAATAATTTTAAAACCTACCATCCATGTTTCTCTGTATAAGATTACATATTTCCAAATAACATCCATAGAGAGAATTAAATATCTGGCCATGTTCATAAAACACAATATAAGGAACCCCACCGCCCCACACACAATATTTTGCTAAATACACATACACTTTCCATGTAATAGGGACACTGCCCCTGAAACTGTGCCTGCTTTTTCACTAGTGATTCTAAAGTTTCTCTCAGCATATCCTTCTCACTTCACAAAGGAAAACTGAAGCTGGCCCCTGTAACAAGGCCCCAGAGACTCTGCATTTGCCGTAGCTCCTTACATCTCAATAATAGAAAACAAGACTTGGGAATAGATATATCTTCTCAATCTTATGGGGAGTGTGAAGGCTACTACTTGAATTATTCATTGAACAGGGAACAGGGAGATTATGTGACCACAGCCCACCTTTGCAACTGAACGTTTTAACATCATTATAAAAAACCACGTATTACACATCAGTTATGGTGCTGAACCAGGCACCGTGTAAACTGAATTTATGAAAATTACCCTCTATAAGTTTCCAGTTAAGACATAACTGAATTTCTGTAAGACAGATAATGAACATCTCCTTATGTAAATTATATAAATATATCCATAAATAAGTTAACCAAAGGTGAAAATGTACACAAAATATTTAATTAAACAAGGTTTGAGTTTTTGTTTGTTTTTTATATCAGCTTTTCTAGACCAAGAAGTAACAGAATGAAGATTTTAATGATTGAGAGAGGAGTCAGAGCAAATAGTAAACTTCTGTATTCTCCAATCTGAACCAGTTTCCAAGTCCACAAATTTTATATATAGTGAGAATAAAGTATTTTTAATTCCACCATTGTTACCATGAAAAGTTTTTGACATGGGTCAGCAAGTTAACTGAAGATAAATTGAGAAAGGAAATTAAGAAGATTGTGCCTATGTCGACACTCAGATTGGCTAATGATTCTACTTATCTAAACATAGCTGTCATGAAATGCTGTCCTTCTTAGGAGGACAGTAGAAGCTCTACAGCAGGTGCGCTCGAGGATCATTTTTATAATTTAATAAAGCCTTTATTTAAAGCCTAGTAATTAAGTAAGGTTGTTTGTTTTTTTTCTTTACTTACTTTATGTTTGTCACTATGCTGGGCACTAGAGAAACTGAGATGATCGAGGCCTCTGCTTTCAATGAGCTCCTAATCTAATAATTAGAGAATGGTAAAGAGAATCCATCAAATAAATAGATAATTATAATAAAGTACCTTGCATACAGTGTTAAGAGAATTCAGAGAACATCTATCTATCTCAGACTGAAGATATACAGATTGTATCCCACAGGACAATCACAAGTTACAAAGATAAAGAGAAATCCTGGGAGGACTATAGAAGTAAGGGTGAGGAATGGTGGTGAAAAAAGGAGGATTTCACTGGTTGAGAACCTTACACAAAGCCTAAGAGGCACGGGAGAATTTTGTCTCTTCTAAGAACTGCTTGTGGGGGAAGAGTTAAAGGAAAAGTAAAATATGGCATTTGTCATTTTGACTAGCACAAGTGGCACAACCTTGGAAACAGTGAGCCTTTATAACCAAGAAGACTGCCGTGTTTCTCACTCCAAATAAAAATATTAGCAAAATGTTACAGCCAAAGATAAAGAATAAGAACATATTGTTATTCTAAATCCTCCATGTATTTAGATGAATCGATAATCTCAACTCCTGAATATTTCCCTTATCTCAAATGGACAGCCAGCAAGTTTGCAATAATGATAGCAGTCAACTTTAGACATACCCTACTGCCCAAATTCTATCACTTATTCCTAGTTTACTAAAAATTGCTAATAATTAGAAGAGCAAATAAATCAAAGTTAGTGTGTAGGGCCATCTTCAGTGAAAGCATTTCAGTTCTGGTGAAATGATTTTAGAAGGCCCAAAAAGGTATTTGGGATGTTCCCAGGGTCAGACCATAGTGAACATTAGAATCCAATTACCTTCCTTTATTGTTCTCCAGAAAGGAAAGCCTGCCTGAGGATGGTTGTACAGAGAAACTTTTTTTTTTAAAGGAACTCAGATGAAACATTACCTTTGGCCAACCTGCACAGTGTTCTTAGTTAAATTATTTGTACTTTGGGTAATGAATCTTCTTTTGTTTCTATTAAAGTTTATTAGGAGCATAGACTTTTTTTTTTCAGTAAAACCATAAAAAGGGAAAAAACCTAACATTTAGAATGGGAATATAATATTTAAACAAAAACATTTAAAACCTAATGCTTTAGCAGAAAACAGCTCAGAAAGAGAATCCTCTGCAGATAGGTAGATACATTACTATATTACCTCAGGATTAGAACTTCAGGTTTGCTGATCCCAAATGAAGTTGAGAAGTCAAAACCACTCCTCTCTCCTTTATGCACTTGTTTTTATTCTTTGCAATGCCTCATTAGATAGATGATAGATAGATAGATAGATAGATAGATAGATAGATAGAGATAGATAGACAGGCAAACAGACATAATTTAAAAGCCCATCAAATTAAGGTCAATGGAAAATTAGTCAACTGTAAGATAGATCTGAAGAAATTACAGAAAATACAGCATGGTGAAAATTTAATTGAGTAAGAGAGGTCATGAGACATGGAGAAAAGAAAGGTTCAAAACTCATCAGAAAATTCTAGGAAGAGAGGAAGACTAGAGAAAGAGTATTTACAGAATGTTGGAAAGGCAATAGGAATTTTCCGGAAAGACATAAACTCCAGATACATGAAGGACAATAATCCTCAAGAAGGAAAAATTTAAAAATAAGCCAATACCTAGATTCACCTCAGTCAAATGTATAATGCTAAAGAAAAAGACAATATTTTAAAAGTCATCAAAAAAATGCACCCATAATTTTGAAGGTAAATTGAAATCTGACTAACAGCAACCTGAGCTGTTAAGCCATAAGTCAATTGAATATTACATTTAAGTGATAACATAAATCAGAATTGGATTATATACCCTGAGAAATTATCTTTCAATAATAAGTGAAGAGTATTTTTAGATAAATAAAAATTGAGAGACTTTACTAGAATAGGAACTTCACTAAAGGAAATATTAAAAATGGACTGACTGATGAACTTTAGAAGAAAGAAAAATCAACCTTGAAAAAATGATGAGCATATGAGTAAATCTAAAGTAATGTGGATGGAGCAAATACTACTACTATCTAGTTTAGGAGGTTAAAAAGTAAAAAAAAAAAAAAGTAAAAAGTCCTGGGCAGGGTTTCCCTGGTGGCGCAGTGGTTGAGAGTCTGCCTGCCGATCGTGACCCGGTCCGGGAAGATCCTACATGCTGCGGAGAGGCTGGGCCTGTGAGCCATGGCCGCTGAGCCTGCGCGTCCAGAGCCTGTGCTCCGCAACGGGAGAGGCCACAACAGTGAGAGGCCCGCGTAACACAAAAAAAAAAAATCCTGGGCAATAATACCATGTAAGATGAGAGGGAGGATGAAATGATTAGAGTTAAAGCATTGTGAACTTTCATTTAAAAGCTAAACTCCACTATATGCTATCTATAATAAACACTAGTAACCATGGCATTGAAAGATAGAAAATAAAAGAATGGAGGAAATATTACACCAAAAAGATGTAGTAACCATAGAAAACCAATATAACCATTTAATTTTAGATAACATAAATTTTAGGGCAAAATAATTAGTAGAGCTAAAGAGAAACTATATAATAACTAATAATATGTTTAATTCACCAAGATGTAATATTCCAAACTGGTGTGCATCTAAAAGCATAGCTTCAAAATATGTAAGGCAAAAGTGAGTGACGAAAAAAATTGACAGGTCCATAACAAGAATGGGAGATTTTAACACAACTCCACATATATAACTGAAGTTAATAAACTTCAGTTTGTTTATTTAGTTATTTACTCCACCCACATTATATTAGATTTACCCATATGCTCATCATACTTTTGTGGTTGGTTTTTCTTTTTTCTGAAGTCCTTCAGTCAGTCCATTTTGGATATTTCCTTTAGTAAAGGTCTTATTCTAGCAAAGTCTCTCAATTTTTTTGATGGCTTTTAAAATATTGTCTTTTTCTTTAGCATTATACATTTGACTGAGGTGAATCTAGGTATTGGCTTATTTTTAAAATTTTCCTCCTGAAGGATTATTGTCCTTCATGTATTTGAGTTTATGTCTTTCTGGAAAATTCTTATTGCCTTTCCAACATTCTGTAAATACTCTTTCTCTAGTCTTCCTCTCTTCCTAGAATTTTCTGATGAGTTTTGAATGTTTCTTTTCTCTATGTCTCATGACCTCTCTCACTCAACTAAATTTTCTGCATGCTGTATAGAACATAAGGAACTTGTAAAAGAATGACATAATAAAATAAACCCAAGGAAAGCAGAAATAAGGCGTGGATAAAGATAATATCACAAAGTAATAGAAGATAAAGACACAATAGAGATCAAACAACAAAGCCAAAAGCTGGTGCTGTAAAAAGACTTCACTAATAACACTGAGAATCTTCTAGCAAAACTGATTAAGAAGAA